GGCCTGTGCGGCCCCTGCCCTGCGCTTGAAATTGCTCCTGTGCCGGTTGCCCAGGCGCTGCCGAGGTTGTGGAGCTATCGGGATGCGTTTACCCCTGCTCGGTCCACTTCTTTTATGGGTTTCGTCTTGTTTTAACCCTGCTCTTTGGAGCTGGTAAGGCGGGTATAGGTCCTGCTCTGCCTGAGCAGAGCGGTGACCTGCCCTTGGTTTTGTAACCTCTTCTCGAGTTCCTCCGAAGCCTGGCGCGTGGTCAGGATTCGGAGGGAAACGTGAGGGTTTTGGCACGTACCTTAGCAGCGCCAGGTAACTCAGACGTGCTTAAAGGAATTAGCAGTCATGGGAGCAACTCCGAATTCTCCAGTCTCATCATATCGGATTTCCAGAACAGCTTACTGTTATGTTACTTAGTGGTCTAGCTGTCACAAAAAAAACATGCAGTGATTATACTGTAAAACTGTCCAAGGATGCCCGACTAATACAGGGCTGCTGAAATCCTCTGAAGGAAATGGTTACCCGCGTAGGTCTTGGAGAAATGTAGAGTTTGGGTCTAGACAATTAGGAATTTCAGTTTATAAATCAGTCCTTACCTTCATTTGATAGGCTACCAAGTGACAGGCGTCTTTATGAAGAACTGGGACCCTCTGGATGAACAAGGAGCTTGTTGCATCGACAAAGATTGTGAAGATGCTTACCGGGTTTGTCAGAAGCTTGATATTCCTTTTCATCAGGTTTCCTATGTGAAAGAATACTGGAATGAAGTATTCAGGTAGTGATGCATTTAAAGTAGATGGTCTTTTAGTATGCTACTGTAACGTTGCGTTACTGTGAAGAGTGAAATTGGACAGAGCGCAGGCAAAGAGAATTTACTGTAGCATTAACAGTACCAAAAGAAAGTACTGAAGCCTCTTAAATACAGGAGGAATACTTTTTTGGTCGTTCATGTTTAATAACAGAATCTATGTGTTGGTTTTAGTATGCTGATTATTTTTGAAATTAATAGGAGATTTCTCTCTAGTTATGCCTGTGGGTGTGCAGTAATTTATTTTTTGGTCACTGGTCATGTTCATTTCTTCTGTATCTCACATGCTGGCCCAGTCTTTCTGCAGCTTGAGGAAAAAAGTACTTAACAGGACACAGTTACTGTTTGTTTGCATGATTTGTGCAATATGTTTTTATATTGCATGAATATATGCTGACCCCAGTTTATTGCCAAGCTAGCACAGATCCGTCTTGCTTCTTTAAACTTTTTTTCTGACAAATTTGAAGCTGTTTTCTGAAGAAAGTGTACAGATTTTCTCTTCTTGTGAATTCATTCCACTTTATAAGAGGAAAGTTTTGCATAGGAAAAGCTGAGAGCTGTTCTGAGGCGGAAGGAAAGGGGGAGTCTGGCACTGTTAAAACAGTTATCGTTTCTGTTTTACTCTTTCAGCGCTGGGACATAAAAATTCCCCCGTGATTTTCATCATTTCCGTTTAAGTAGTGCTGTTTATATCTCAGTTTCTTCTCAGACAAGATAACAGTAGTTGTGCTAGGTTTACGTCATGTTGAAATGACATCAAATTAAGCACAAAACCTAATGTGCAGTCAGTAAAGATGATCATTTCTTGGGATGGTTCACTCCAGGTTTGCCTCTTTATATGAGACGCTAATGCTTATCACATCTCTCTGGGAGTTCTATAAATGACAATGAATCAAAGATTATAGAGCATCAGATCTGTTTCTCTCCAAATCATTTGTTAGTGCAGGATTGCCATACAGCCTGTTACTTCACAAGGCTTCTTGGTTCATTCCAGAATTCTTTCCTTTACGTTCATCTCAGAGCTTGAATTTACTCCTCCTTTGGAGTCTCTCTTTACAGGGTTAGTCTTCAAAAGCCATCTTTAATTAAGAGAATTATCCTAGGTCTTGTCTTTTCCATGATCTGTACAAATTCTGTTTCGCGTTTTTGTTTTAGAAAGATTCAGTAGATGTTCTTCATTTCCTTTTCTCCTGTTCTCTGTTTTCCTTGAAGAATGTACTTGCAATGGGTATCCCTTATTGCTAGCTCTCCCTCATGCGGAGTGATGAAATCTGTATAGTTTTACCGCCTTACCCAGAAAGCTTGTTGCTTGCCTCTGTGGTTATTCTGTGCTGACCTGAGCCTAGCTTTGTGCTAAGTCTTTTGTAAAGGATCCAATATAGTCTTGTAATATTTGCAAAGTACCAGTGTATCTGTCATCTTAAGAGTACAGTGCTGAACCAGCAAGAGCTAGGCAGCACTAGGTAGACCCAGATGAGTTAATTATTAGTATAAATTGTTGAATTGTAAACTGTTAGAAGCGGGTAGCATGAAGGAAAAGA